ATATTATTTTATTCTAAAATTCTCCATTTGTCTCCTTGGGTCTCAAAGTGTTTCACTTTTTCTTGATTCACTTCCAAATTGCATTTTTAACTAGCTAATTCATCTTCAATAAAATATTATTATTTTATTATTATTCTCTCATGTATGAAATATTTTATTTCAAAATATTCTTTTCCACTTGTCTCTATTGTTTCACACTTAAATTGGCATCAATTGACCCTCGTCCTATCAATAAAGTTGTATTGACTTCTATACGAGGGTACGGGGTGTTACAATCTCCCTTACTTAAAAAGAATTCGTCCCCTAATTCACATCAGTGTCAGGTTATTAATCTCACTCTATGATCATATATCATTTCCTTCTTCATAGGGAATTTGATTTATCTACCTCGTTTACTTTCAGTTTGACTAGAACACTTTACAAGGTTAAGGTACGTAACTTATATCTATTATCGTCTTTGAATCAAAACAATGGTACCCTTCACAATTGTTCTTTCTTATTAGTAAGATCCCAAATATGCCTGTTAACTCCAATTTTAACCTTAAATATATCTTTATTCCGATTCTTGTCAAACTTCTCAACATCCATTCATCTTATCCCCATACACTACTACATAATTTATAACATAATAAACATGTCGTATTCATTCCTATGCATAAATTCAACATTAGGGGAGGTTAACGCCTTCAATTGTTCCCTTATATTTCATGCTTATCTTGCATTTATGCAATTCAAAACTTCTTCATTTTTTTGTTAATTACACGTTCAAAGGTTCAAACTTCTACATCATTCTTAATTTTTACATCTCAATCATATTAATCCATCGTGGATGGCTTAACCACACTATAGATTTCATTTCTTGATATTCCTTCTTTGACTATTGCTCCAAAATTCTTCCATATCATCATAAATCAATTTATGATGGAATCGCTTATCATTGTATCATCTATACAACTCATCAAACATATTGAGTTCAAATCTCAAATCATTAAAAATAATTCTTCAATTTAGTTGGTCGCATAATCAACTACACATATACATATATACGCATACATTTAACTATCAACATTCATCATTATGTATAGGAATCCTTGTGTTAAGTGCCTTTAAACTAAATTTCCCTTTATACATTCCCATTCATAACCAAGATTCAATATCATATTCTCATAATTCATGTTTCCCTTTTTACTTTTCTAAATTTCAACATTTCTAATTTACCTTTCCATTTCATTCCCACAAATCATATTTAATCTATGAACATTGGGGTATAATCA